GGTTCCTGGAAAAATCAGGCCTTCGGTTGTCAAACCTTTTTCCGACTTGCAAGCAGCTTCAGCTGGCAATTCAATGTTGTCAATGCTTAGGTTTCGAAAGTATCCAGACAGCTAAACGAGACGGAGTTCGCAGGTACAGCCTACGATGGCACTGTGGTTGACCCTTGCCCTGTATGGCTTGCAGGTTTTGTGATGACGATGCAATAGTCCACGTGTTACACAATGTCTCTCGTTCAGTGCAGTGTTACTCCGTGGCTTTATCGTCGCATGGAATTTCTCTTGACAGACAAATTGACAAAGACTTCAACTTTTCATTGGTGTGTGCGCCTGCGTGTCTGGGTCTAGAGACAAGCGTAGGATCAACATTCGGGAGATCGTAGACAGAGCACCTCATTCGAAGTCGTGTAGCAGACAGGAGCATGCAGTTCACATATCAGCTTTTGCACATCTCCTGCAGAGCTCTTGCAAAAGTAGGCGCAGTTTGAGGGAGCCAACTGCTTAGCTGCGTAGCATGATCACATCCGATGAAGTTCAGGCTGCGCTCCCTGCCAGGGGGCTTTCGACACAGCTTTGATCAGACCAACAAAATGGAGGGCCAGTACTTTCAGGGTTGTCCGCAGTAATTTGAAGAATTTCTCAACTCCAGCACTCCGCTTGTTCGTGTCCTGAAAAAACTGGGGCATCGAGTCTGTTTGCCAAGCCTTCCCGATTCCCATTAGGGCTGCTCTGGAAGGGTCGTCTCAAGCCACATCTTCGGATTGATTTCCCAGGCTCTGCCAAACCAATGTCAGCTGCCATGTCATATGCACATGGACAGAAGCACTGATGTGGCATGTCGGGCATTCTGCATGGCGAAGTGGCGTGCTCACCCAGGCGCTGAGACCACTTCAGGCCAATTTTTGGTGGCCCAATGAACTAGTGGGATCGCCGACTCGCCCTGCAACGACAGGCGCGGCATGCTGCATCGGGCGCCGCCCTCAGTGGCTGACGAACCGTGGCTTCACCGTGTCAGTCAACACTCAATTGTGTCGTCATCACAATGCTGTCGTTCGAATTCCTCTGTAAAGCGACTAGATTGCGCGCTTCCGGCGTACCTTTCGGTGGTCAGTTGGGCTCGCTGACCAACATGATAATTTCCACCGATGATTGTCTCAGCTTCGATCTGTGGCGTGAGATCTCCTCGAGTAGACGCTCCCTCTCTCCAAGCAGGTGCATGTTTCGACAAGGCACGAGTGTACGTGGCTTTCGTGTTTGTGATTGTTGCAGTTTTCGGCCAGCTGCGGGACGTAGAAGGAGAGTGTGGAGGTCAGCAAGCAAAACTGATTCGGCATCGGGGGCTTGCAGCGGGAAGCGGAGGGACGAATTCTCCATAGTAAAATTATCACAGAGATGTCAGAGATGACAGTCGCTCTGTCACACACGCTTGTGTTTCTTACGTTGCAGGTTGCTTCTGACCAATCTTAACAGAACAGCAATGCTGAAAACTGCTGCCTCTGCGTTTTTATGTTCGTGTCTTGTGACCTCGTTAGTGTGTCGGCACGTCGCTGCTCGCTTTTTTCGATTCGCAGCGACTTTATTGACAATTGCCCTGTGCTATGTGCATCAGCGGCTGGGGCCGTCAAGCGAATTCCCATTGAGCTCGAAGCGCTGGCTTTCAACCCGAAGCTGTCCGTGGATTCGACGGTGTGCTCCGGTTCGGCTGATTCCCCCTCTTGAGCTGCAGTGCACAATCTCGCACGTGCTTCGAACTGCAACCACGCTGCTCGACGTGGCATTCTCGGGCTCAAAGCAAGAGTTCGAGGCATTTTACATACCATAGCTGAAAATCTTGAGTCTCCAGACTCCAGATATCTGGTTTCATCTCTTGCCTTGCCCCACGTGGCTCCACTATCAGAGGATGTGGGCTGCTGCGTGTTCTGCAGCATCTTTTCTCACTCCACAAGACTGATAGTCAGAGGGCCTGTGCCTTACTCTATTTGCAAGGTGCTGTCGCTGCCGTTCCAGGCCTGCCAGACAGGACAGAAGTGGAGCGGTGTCTAGGCGTTAAAGTCTTGAGCAACAAAAGCTGACACGCTTGAATCCTTGATCTGGAGCCAATGATTGCATGGGTGTTGGCTTAGCGCCACGTTGCGACAAGTGTGGTCAAAGTTTCATTGAGCATGGGACGCATGAAACACAAGGGTTGAGGACTTGCCCCCAAGCCCTGACTGTTAGTGAGGATGCGGGGCGAAGCTCGCATCCAGTAGATCACAAGGCGCTGTGAGCAGAACTCGCCTTTCGCCAGCCACGGGCAGGTCTCCGGGCCACGTTTGCTCGCCTGGCGGCTGGGCGGCTGGGTGTGGAAGCCGGCAGCTCGGGGCCATAGGAGGAGCTCCTGGGCCTGCCCGGTCACCAGCCCAGGCGCCGGCGGCGCCGGCTGAGGCGCCTCCGGCCTCAGTCGGAGTTGTGCCAGCGGTGGTCTCTGTCGGGGAGGTGCAGTAACTCAGTAGCCTTCGTCGCCCCTGCAGCCTGATCCTGTGGCACTTGTGCCAGGGTTGCACTGAGAGACGGGTACCAGTGTCTTTCGTCCGGCAACGTGTCATGAAGCGGCTGAAAGTGGGAAACTGAGCGACGGACGCATGAGAAGCACAGCAGACACCTGCAGACGCTCGCACAGATTCACATGGCCAAGGAGACTCAGAACA